GCTGGATTTTAAGCCTTTTGGCTGTGGGTTGCAGCTTTTGTGTGCTCCGTGACTGATGCAGAGAAGTGGGGAAGGTGAAACAAAGATCACAGGTGAGTTGCAGTAACACGTTCCTGGGAGCTGAGGTTGCTGCCTGAAGAATGAAAGCTTGAAACCAGCGATCAGCATTACTGGAATCTAATCTCACCACCTACAAGAACATTGTATCTCTCTTAGAATTTGGAAGGAAATAATGTTGTTGACATTTTCCTCTGGAGACCCCTGCAATTATTAAAAGGAGGAAGGAAACTTATCTCATGATGCTGAAATACTTTCAAAGAGAACGCTCTTGTTTGTCTTAGCTAAATGGAGGGAAATACTGGCCCTGAGAAGTGCCCTCGCAAATCAGAGGGAGGAAATTCCAGGAGTTTACTTAAAAAAGCAGAATCGTAATGAGTAAAGTGAATAGAAAACACTGATAACTAAGCTGGTTGCTGTTACAAAGGACTTGGAACGTGCAAGAATCGTAAGCACTGGTGGTTTTTGGTTATTCTTTGAATTGCTTTGTTTGGGGATTTTTGTGTGTGTGTGTGTCTTGGGTCAGCAAATTCCAGTTCTCAGGGAGCTTCCGACTCACATGAGTCACCAACTGGTCTCACCAGCTGCCCCTCCTGAGAACATTCCAGTTCCTCAAGCTCCTTCTTTCTCCCTTTTCACGACAAGCAAAAAGCAGCAATATTTCCAGCTTTGTAGTCTTTTCAGAAAGAAGGTGTCCTCAGGTCTCATCATCTTTGCATCGGTATGTATGAATGTAATAATGCTGAAGGATAATTCAATTTGGAAGGGACCTTGGGAGGTACAGCTAGCATTTGTATGCTTGCAGCATCACAGGGCTCTGTGAAAGTCATAAGCAACTAATTTCTAACCTTGGTCCTGGAGAAGAGTAACCAACTTGTGTCCTTGGCAAACAGAGAAAAAGTACCCACTACCAGAGAGCTGCCAAGGAGAATCAGTCTTGAAGGGTGCAGAAAGAGATGGGGTAAAGGGGGGGAACTACTGAACGGAACGGCAAAATACTGAGCATTACTGGGTGTTCTCTAGCACCGGGGCGGAGAGAGGTTCCTTACCCAGCCTCTGCTGCGAAACACCATTAAAGGAGTCTAAATGATAGAACCAGCCCTAAGAACAGACTAAATTTTGCAATTTCATGGCCTCCATGAAAATCCCATTTTAGCAAAGACAGGATGAAAGAGAAAACATGAATGATTGATATTGAAGGAAACCCAGTTTGTGCCTAATATATCCTGGAGAAACTGCTAATGGAAATTGAATAGTCCTGAAAATATTTCCTGAGACTGCAACTCTGATCAAGTAGCCCTGCGGTGATATATTGCACGTCCAAATTAAAGCTGCCCTGGGGCACAAGTAACCCCAGCAGCTGGTTTTACTGCGTAGGACTGGATGATTTGTATGTTTTTTCTAGTTTTTTGACAGCATATTTTTATACAAGGCTAAGGCCTGAATCTTCTACTGTGTAAGAGGAGCTACTGAGTATTTAACATCCCTTAGAACTGATGTTACTCTTAGCACATCATTGTGGTTGTTAGGAAGTCTGGTGGTACCCCAGCGCTGAGAATGGCAGATGGTACCTTTAGATAAGAGTCACTTATGGAAGTCCCTAAACTTATGGACCATGCTGCTATGATTCATGAGAAAATAGGAATTTCCACTGTATGTTCACAGTATTAAAATCTATTCTAATTCAGCATGTTATTTTGACAGCGACTAGTACCGGTTCTTTCAAAGGGAGAGGCTTTATTAGGAACAGCGATGGAGCGATCTAACTGTAGGAGTTAGATTTCCACCATGACCCTGTGAGTCATTTCTGAAATAAAAGAACTATGTCCCTTACATCAAGAAATGATTTTAATGGGTCTGTGGGCAGTCTTAGTCCATAAGCACACTTTGAAACACCATTATGCACTGAAGATGACATCAGAGAATAATACACTTGTGCATACAGAATCCAAAACCTTATAAAGGGCATCCAGCCACAACAGAGCACAAACACTCCAGCTCCCCAAGAAACTCCTGGTTGTGCTTCCATCAACTTTACAGGAAGCAGGATGAGATTGACAAGCTTCAGTTTGGATAAGTCGCTAAATGCATCCCTGATAACTCGGGTGCTGAATGCCATTACTGCACATTAACAGGGGAACGTGCTGCAGCTGAGCCCAGATAAAGGCCCAGCCGGTGTGCCTCTGTTCCTGTTGGACACCCAGATTTAGGATCCTTTAGGTCTGTGTTCATAGCTGGAGTCCAAAATTCTTCAGGTTGTTTTTCTTTTCTTTCTCTGTGTGGTTGTGGGGATTTTTTCACCCTCTGTGAGGGTGGGGATTTCTTGGGTTTGTTTTTTAATTTGTACACTGCTCTGTGATATAAATACTTCTCAGGTGTCCGAGATCTTACCAGTTGGAAGG